GGTCTGTTTAATGTAGTAGGGGGATTAATTTAGATTACACGGATCAGGCCGGACCGACTGTCCTCCGCCAGCCGTGTTCGGCTCTTGATAAAATTACAAGCGGGATGAGGAGAACGTGCTCTGCGCGGGGGAACCCGAGTCGGACCGCGGGGAAGAAGAAGGGGGGGGGGGTCATGTAGGCGTCAACAGACACGGCATTACAGGCGTAATAGGCTGACCCGCGCCGGGGGATGAGTAACGAGTAGGGTCCCGCGGCCGCAAAGACAGAGAGAGGGAGAGAGAGGGGAAGAGAGAGGGAGGGAGAGAGAGAGACGGACAGTGGGCCGCCCGCGGGGCGCGCACGCGGCTGTACGCGGGGATCACAGCAGGGACATGGCGACAGATTTGAAAAAAATTAAAATAAATTGAAATAGCGACGGAGTGATGCAATGCAGCAGACGCAGCGCGACGCGAGGATGAGTTAGTCGATGGCGTCAAGCTTCCTCACCACCTGCTGCGTGCGGAAAAAGATTTTTCCTACGAGTCCATTTCTTATTCGCGCTACTGCCGCGACCGCATGAGATGCGTCGTGTGGTGGGGCGGCGCGGGGCGGCGGTGTCGCCTGTTTGCGGCCGGCTACTGGAATCGGCGACATTCTCGCGCCACGCCACGCCGCGCCATGCCATGCGAGTCGTGAGGACGCCGCCGGCCAAGCGAGCCGGCTAGTAGTTTAATAACCGCGGGAAGCGAGCAAGATCAGTGAATAGCGTGCATTCCTCCCAGAACTGCAGCGCGCATCTTTGACGTCTCTCTCTCTCTCTCTCCGCCTGGCCCGCTGTTGGCTCATCGGTAGATGTGACAGCCTGGAACCTGGCCGCCGCCGCACTCTATTTCTGGAAGTGCGTAATTGGAGCCTTTTGCTTGGCGCGCGCGGGACGGGGAGCTGCTGCTGAGAGATGTGAGAATCTGGTGTTAGGAAACCGATCTGAGTTGTTTAAAGAAAAAACAAACAAGACGAATAAAAGGAAAAGGACGAGGAGCAGCATAAGCTGCTGTCATCGGCGCTGCCTGTGTGCTTGCCTTTGACGGGTGTGTGCGATAGCCAGGCAATATCGATCGCATCATATCGCATTCCTGACCCGTCCGCATCGGCACCGCGGATCACACAACGGTACCGCGACGGGCACCAGGGGGCCATAACACGTCGCACACTATTCGCACCGACGAGCCGTCGCCATAGAGTGGCGAAAAGAAAGGAAATAACCGCGACCTTATCGCTCATGGGCGTCGGTTGTGTGCTCTCGCCTGGCCGTGCGCTCAGGTCTCCCGGGTGACGAGGGAGCACAACGACGCCCACTCAGTTTGACCTTTCTCCAGATACCAGATTTCGGTAGACTTATATGAAATGAGATGTAGTATAAATTCAAATAAACTGATGTTAGAAGTTTAACTGTCGAAGTGTATGCAGGACAACTATAATAGAAACAACAAACGTACGGAGCCTATTACTGTACGACCCTGTGTGTGTTTGGTTGAGGCCATTTTTCTTTATTTTTTAAGCCTTACGAAAAAGGACATTTCCAGTTAGCGTGCACACCTGCGGGCGATCGAAGATATGGCAGCCCGTTCGGAGGAAGGCTGCCGCCCTTATCCAGACGAGTGTCCTCAAGTCTAATTGAATGCCCCTCCGTGAGCTCCCTGTACGGCTCAACGGGCGTCGAGGACGGCGTGGCGAGCCACAACAAAAGTCCTCTTTATTTTAGATACACGGCGCTGTATGACGCGCGGGGGAAGCAGGTGAGATCACGAACCGGGGAACTATACTATATGACCGCCATCTCTTTACGGGCATCTCGATTTCAATGTGTTTCTCCGAAGCTTTTCCTCGAAGAAGATGGCCATGCAAGACATGAAATAAATTTACAGTCAAAAACAGGCTTGACGAGGTGCGAGTTGTCGCGGTGATGCACGAGGGTGCAGATGAGATCAAGAGGGACTATACACCCAGTAAAATGATTTCTTGATTCAAGTTCCATTTTGTACTAAAGGCGACCCTAGATTAATTAAATCTAGTAAGACCTTTTTAAAGGATGAAAATGTTGCCAATCGGAAGGTAATATAATCTTGCGTCGTGTAAAATTGATATCTCAAGTCAAAACGTACACTTGAAAAAAGAAAACAATTTTATGGGTGACCTCTTCTCAATTGAGTTGAGGGACTTGTTGCACACATCACCTTTTTTTTCATTTTGACGAGACGACGATAGCTTTGGACCAACCATTCATTCATTGAGAGGCCCCGGCGCGGTTCGTGGTGGGGCGGGGCGTGGTGGGGCGTGGTGGGGCGTGGTGGGGCGTGGTGG